AATGCGTCGCGACGCTGCCGTCGTGCGCCGGTGGCTTGAGGAACGTCGTCTCGATGGCCATGCGGTTGAGCCGGTCGCGGATCGTCTGCTGGCCGAACGATCGCCCATTGTGCTTGGTCCAGCCGTACGACTCGAGCCGGTCGCGCTCCGAGCACTCGTGCTTGAGCTGGCTCACGTCTTCGTTGGCCGACGTCCAGAGAAGGCCTGCGCTGACATGCGTCGGGTGCGTCCGCGATCGGACGCCAAAGTAGAGACCCGAGTGGTAGGTGCCCCAGCGCAGGCTGTCGTCGCCCGCGCACGACGCGGTGATGGCCACAGCAACGGCCAACGCCACCGTCCACGTCATCGCCTTATGGACTTGCCAAATGCAAAGGAAACCAAACCATAGTACACTATTTCATATGCTGATCGCCAATCGACGTTATATAGTGTATGATACTTGGTCATGCTCATGCGCCTACCGACTACTAGTACAGCGGCCCCACGCATCCCACGCACGGCATCGAACTACAGCTATGAAACTTTGTGGCCTGACAATCGAGTAGGCCGCGTATGCGGCTCAGGTGCGCGAGCTCTACGCCAAAGTCGCGCGGGATTGCTTGACCTGAACCTCACGCTCGCGCATCCCTTCGACCAAATCAAGATTCTGCTCAACAACGTCGTGCATAGCTAACAGCCAGTACTGCTGTGTTGATTGACCCGAAGAAACGTCATATCTATCTATCTATCTATCTATCTATCTATCTATCTATCTATCTATCTATCTATCTATCTATCTATCTATCTATCTATCTATCAACGTTCAAATTACCTTCGAGTGGCCGTGCACTAAGCCACCACGGCGGCACCGAATGTCGAAGCACTCATCATGGACAGTCGCTTGCCTCGTTACCTGGGGTCAGAGAAGAGACATACTAGTGCCAAGTGTACCTATATAACCCGCTCGACGCTCGAGTTTTATTATTGAGCGCGATGGCTCGGAAGACGACGGTGATTGGCAAAGGTGTCGTCTAGCTACAGTACGTGTTCGAGGGCGCGAGCGTTGGCATGATTCAAATGCCGTTGGCCGACTCCGAGGCGCTGGGTCCAAACGTTGCAGGCTGGCCCCAGACGGGCTTTTCACTCCCGGGAGAGCGCGGGAGGTCCGTCTCGGTCGGACGGGCTTGGCTGTTGGCTGAAAACATTGCTGGTTGATCCAAATCTCTCTTCGGGTGCACGTTCCTGGTCGTCTCTGGGTCCATCGCGTGTGCATCGGCTGCGTAATGGCCTTTAATCGACACTTGAGACGTCGGATTGGCGCCAGTGCTCCAGCCAACGTTGTGCGCCTCTGGCTTTGACGCGATCGGCAGCGACGTCGATGGCGGTGCACGCACCATGGATCGTGCCACCTTCCTGTATGGCGTTTGGTGAGGGAGAACGTAGCGCAGCTTTTGGACTTCACGGACGACCGCGCTTGACTCGACCGGCAAGGCCGCAATGCACTGCACGGCGAGGTCCAAGATGTGACTGGGATAGGTGGCCGCGGCGTTCTTGGTCAATAGCGGCTGCAATGCCAGGATCGCCGTCGTCAACGACTCAGCGGGGTCGTTGCCGATGCAAGGCGACTCGCTCGAATGGAAGAAGGCAGTGTCGAGCGCTGCGGCCTAGTACAAGGGCCGTGGGCGACGCTGACACACATCTACTGACCTGCTCCTGGATCGGTGCGGCGCGTTGGCTTCCGCATTGCGCCAAAGGCGATCGCGATGAGGTCGTCTTCATCGATGGCCAATTCGAGAATGCCGCCCTTTCTTTCAAGCCGCGAATACTTGCAATCAACTTGACCATCCGGATTCTCATACAAATATACAGTGTTTGATATTTCGTTTCAGTATCCGGAAATGTAATGGAGAATGCAGCCAATGGCAAGGGTCCATGCAAGCAGTGGCTCGAGGCCGCTCGGCTAGAACAGCTGGTCCATACAAAAACTCAATTCCGTCAAGTTGACTTTGTTTCAGCATACCTATAAAATATCAAGCTATCAATAATGTCTCATAAAGACAATGCTTTGCAGCTACGACTGCTTCGCCGCCATCAACGGCTCTGTGGCGTCAACCATCATCATCCCCAGACCTATGCTGTAGTAGTACACTGAGAGTGGCGCCATCTCGATGCGCGCGTGGCCCTTGGCAGAAAAAATAAAGTTTTAGAGAACTCGAATCGGTTTTCGAGGGTCACCGTCCCCGCCGATCGCCTCAAACCTCATCGCATTGCACGCGTCTCTCACTGTCAGGCAGCTGCCTGCGCCGGTACTAGTCTCGCTGGGCGAGCGCCCGCGTGGTCGACGTGTATGTCAATATCGTGACCTTCAACTTGCGCCTCCAAAGCTCCCTTGGGAGCCAACGTGCGATCCATTAATAGTGTAATACAAACACTATATTGAGAAAGTGCAATCGTCGCATTTTGGCTTTGGCACGATGGGTCGCCAGGTGACGATCGTCTTTGGGAAGCAGTCGGCGCAGCTGTCGATTGACAGTGACGCAGTGCTGCCCGTGGCTGAGCTCAAGGCGCGCATCGAGCCGCTCTTTCATGTCCCGGCGACGGCGCAGAAGCTGCTCTGTCGAGGCAAGGAGCTCAAGACAGGCGCGACGGTGGATCTCAGCACGCTGCCAGCAACGGCCAAGATCATGCTCCTTGGACAGCCTAGTGCTGCACCACGCGCACCAGCCGCAGCACCGATGCCGGCAGAGGAGCCCGCGCGTATGGCACCT